CATTCACTGAAGCAATGCATGTGTATTATCTTACTGACTCTAACCTGCCTCAGTTCAAAGGCCACTTTTACCAAGTCTTTTGGACAGGGAGGCTGTTGAGCACGTCGGGGAAGTGTCAGAGATAACGACTCACGTCTTGCCTTTGTCACCAGCTCCATGACCTTGGACAAGTTACTTAATCTTGTAAAATGGCAGTAGTCATGCCTACTTGATCAGGTTGTTTAATTAAACTTTGAATAAGATAGCGCAAGGAGCCAAAACGGGTTTGGTTCAGTGGTAGAGTGTCGGTCTGCGGACTGAAGGGTCCTAGGTTCGATCCTGGTCAGGGGCCTGTCTGTACCTTGGTTGCAGGAACATCCCCGGTAGGGGGTGTGCAAGAGGCAGCTGGTCGATGTTTTTCTCTCATTGTCATTTCTAGCTATCTCTCTCCCTTCCTCTCTGCAAAATATCAATAAAATATATTAAAAAAAAAAGATAGCGCAAGGAAAGTAATATTCAGTCTCGTTCTGCCCTTCCTTTGACCACCAGTTAAGTAGGAAGTTTATCTGTGTCTCCAAAAGAGATACAATCTGCAGCCTCATCTGATGCTTCAATTTGACAAGCACTTTTGAACACTGAGGTGCCAGCCACTGCCTGGGGTGTGGGGGTCTGGTGGGATCAGCCCCTGCCTGCAGCAGCTGGAGTCCAGCCAGAGTGGGCAGTCAGTGATGCTGTGAAGGGCACACATCTGTGCCACGTGTGTTCTTTTCTTTGTTTTTAATTACTTCGTTTATTGATTTTAGAGAGAGGGAGATAGAGGGAGAGAAAAACATCATTTTGTTATTACACTTATTTACACATTCATTGGTTGATTCTTTTAAAATAGGTTTCTATTGATTTTTTAGAGAGAGGGAGAGAGGAACTTAAATCAAGCAGCTGCCTCCTGCATGCCCCCCACTGGGGATAGAGCCCACATGCCAAGCATGTGCCCTAACCGGGAATTGAACCTTCGACCTTTTGGTGCATGGATGACATTCAGCCAACTGACCCACACCACTCACCCAACCGAGCTACACCAGCTAGGGCAGTGGTTGATTCTTGTATGTACCCTGGGGATCAAACCTGAACCTTAGGGTATTGAGATGATGCTCTACCCAACTAGGCTGCCTGGCCAGGGCTGCCATGTGTGTCCTTGCCTTCTCCTACCCACAGACTATATGCTCTGTGAGGGCAGGGTCAGATACCTCTTTTGGACCTCTTCAACTATTAATGACCATATTGCTTGAATTAAAATTAAAAACAGGTGGACTGACATGTATGAATATTCTTATGAGGAAAACGGAACAAAATATTTGAAGTCTGCTGATTTGAGAAATTCAGGAGTAAGTTGGCTATTCCACAGCATATAACAAAATTCTTGTACACAATTAATATAGTCGCACAAAAATTAAACGAATGCTTAAGCAGCTCTGATTTCAGTGACCTCCAAAAGTCTCCCAAGTCCCCTAAGGTCTGAGCATCTGAGTTCCTAGCATTAAAGTGACTGACAGGATTAAGACAGGTGAAAGGCCCAGGTTAAAAATAAATGCATGTTGCTCAGGAGGAGACCCACATTTACTCCTTTGACCAGGTTGAAAAGATCAGCAAGTGTCATCTTACAGAGAGACCGGGGGCCCCCAGGGACAAGTGTCTCCATGGAGCAAGAGGGGGTTGGCAAGGTCTAGACTTGCCAGAGTGGGGCAACATAGAGGACACCTTGGGCCACTCAGGGAAAGGCAAAGGGTGTTTTGGGGAAGAAGGGGTCTCAGAGGGTGGCTGTGAAGCTTGGAGGAGGGCCTCTTGTGGAATACTGGCCTCTGTCCAGTTGTGCCCTCAGTCTCTTGGGACAACCTTGGGCCGGGAGATGGAGGAACACTGTGAGATTAGATTCTATGCTCCTTTCTCCCCTCCTCTAATAAAAGTACTAAATATGTTAAATGACTTGCCCAAGGACACACAGCTGTTTGGTGTCTGACCTGGGACTCAGAGCCAAGTGTTTGTGCCTCTGTTAATAGCAAGCCTCTAACCTGAGTCTAGAAGGACACCAGTCATAAAACCAGAGTGTTAAGACCAGCCAGAACAGGGAGCAGAGGCATCTTGCCTGCCTGTGTCCTCACCGTGGCCAAGGTGGTGGGAGGTGATGTCTTAACACCCTTCCACCCCCACTTCCCCTCCTGCCCACGTCTGTCAGCAGTGCTAGCTCCGGAACAATGCCATCCGGGGACAGGCAGCAGGAGGGCTGCCCACTAAGGAGGGACTTCAAACAAGGACAGGGTCTAATCCCATCAACTTCCTCTAGCAATTAACCCAAAGCATCAGGAGGTCCTTGTCCCTACTGTAACCACTTCTTCCTTTGTCCTAGTCCCAGGCTTAGTCCCAGCCCTCCCAGTCTTCCACCTAGAAATCTTCCTCAGGGGTGCCAGAAACTGATCATTGTCTCAGTTAGATGGGGAGTGGTTGGCTCTGACCTTTCAGAGCTTCAAGGTTGACCAGCCTTTTATATCTTTCTATTCGTGAGACAATGATCAGTTTCCGGCATTGGGCTTTGTACAGCTAAGTAGACCCCACTTCATCTCCCAGTCTCTCCCATCAAGCCCCTTGGACTCAGCTGGGTGCTCTCCTAAGCCCCTCTCTGTGTCTCTCCACAGGGTCAGGCTGTCCCCTTTTCATTTGGCTCTGGCTGTCCTGGCACCAGAAGCCTTTGATGACTAAGCTGTGGGAACCACTTTTGCCTTCACCTCCCTCCACTCAGCTTGATGCCCCCATTCCCACCTTGGGTAGTGAAAGGTTGCAGGCTCTCAGCACAGTGTGCAGAGCAAGAACTTAATAACACTTTGTGACTTCACAGAATAAATGAGAGTTGGCTGTTTGAAAGTACTAACATTGGGTCCCTGGATCAGAGCAAAGGTCTTCAGGAATGCCATCTTGGAAGGAAACTGGCAACCTCCTGAAGAAAACAGGAAATGCCTGGAAACTCTGTCTCAGAAAATCATTGAATTATCAACACCAACCATTTCATTTCCATTAAAAATTTTATTACATTAAAAGGAAAAATCCCAAGCCCTCCACAAAACCAACCAACCAACCAACCAACCAACCAACAAAACAACCCTCTAAAACCTAAACCAACTTAAAGACAAATTATTGCCCAGATACAAGTAACTCCCTGCTCCCCAAAAAAACCTTACATTAAAAAGTCCAAAAGAAATAGATATGCCGGCTTCAAAAATATTTATCCAAAAAGTAAGGCATCCACTTAAAAAACACACACACAACAATAAATTGAAGGTGGGAAGGAGGTTGGAGGAATGAGAAGAAGGAATAAGAGGATGGTCCCCTGACCCTCCAGGGGCCAGCCCGAGTCTGCCTGGAGTTCACTCAGAGGGACCATAATTCAGACCAAACCTGGCATCTCACCAGTCAGGCAACTGGGCAGGAAGCTAGGAGACAGGAGTGGGCCGAATGGCCCTGATTACACTGATTACACTGAAAGGTGTTCCAGTGTAATCAGACGGGATAGGGAACTGGGGACATGGGGGAACTCCTGCTTGGGGATAAAAGGATCCTAGTCCTTAGAACACAGGTGTAGTGGGAAGGCCCAAGGACAAGGGCAGACACTATCTCCTTCCTTTGGAGCACAGAGAGAGGCAGCCCCTGTCAGTCCTCACACCACGGACACAGGCTTTCCTGGACCTCCACAGAGGGCACCTTCGGCCACTGCCTTCTCACCCTGCCCTGGAGGCCATCCAAAGGCAGGACAGTGGTGAGACCCAAAAGAGGGAAGGGTTGAGTTGGGGGAGGAGGGAGGAACTGGCCTTCAGAACACACTTTCTCCCCAGAAGGCACCTCTGGGGAGACGGGGAAAGCACCCTCTCTCCTGGAAAAACTCTGCATACCAGGTCTGCCCTGAAGGTTAGAAATAAGGGAGTATTTTTAGGTCCAGTTCTTGGATGGGAGGTGACTTAAGGCAGATTTGGCTCAGGTTTCAGGCCTGAAGGGCTTGGGGAACCTTCACACCTAGTCCTAGGTTCAGGAGCCAAGGTCCAGAGAGGAGGGAAAGGGCACTCGGGGGGCGCAGGCAGTGCTGGCTGCGTGGCATGTGCTGGGAGCAAGGCTGCTGGGTGCCAGGGTGACTGTCCCTTCAGGCGGGTGGGGAGGGAAGAGGGGCTGAGCCGTGCTGTCATTAGGAGAGAACTTTCTGGCGTGAGGAAGCTTTGGCACCCAGTTGGGGGCAGGATGCAGGGGACAGGGACAGGGCTGGGTTTCTGCAATCTGAGCCTTTCCCAGTCTGTTCTACAGGCCTGGCTGGGGGTCATGGGAGGGACAGTTCCCCTCCTTCATTGGTCCTTATGGTCCTTAGCTCAGAGGGGGTTTTGGGGGTTGAATAGGGGGGTGGTAGCGGTGGGAGTAGTATCCTGAGGAATCTTACTTTGCACAGGGAGCCGACACTGGAGTGGCAGACATGGGGGGAGGAGTGGGGAAGAGGGCAGAGGGATTTATTGAATCCCTAGTGAAGGGAGGGAATACAGGTCTCTCCAGATGGCTTTTAATGGTGACAGATTTTCTTGAGTCTTTCCCTCTCCAAGATACTCACTGTTGCTTGTTGCTGCCACTTTGCTCAGAGCTGAGGTTGTGGGCTCAAGAATGGGAAGGGGAGGCAGAATTGAACTCAGGCTCCTGAGGAGGCAACCAGGGCCGGGGAGGCGGGTCCGTAGGGTGCTCCTGCAGCTCCTGCCACTCCACTCTCCTCTAACAGTTCTGATCGTGGGCAGCCCTGGTTTTGGGCACAGGTTCTGGGGGTAAAGGGCTGGTTCTTTGGGTACAAATGTCAGTGTCTTTGTTTATAGTTTCTCACCCCCAGGTCCTGCCCCTGCTTGACAAGAAGCAGAGGGGTGTGTGTTGGGGGGGCCCCAGGCAAGGAAGGAGGGCAGAAAGGGGGCAAAGGAGGGAGGAGGCAACTGAGAGTGTCCTCAAGGCTGGGGCTATTTCACTGAGTTCTTGTCTTTGGAGTCAACGGATTGGTTGATGGGCTGCCACTGCTCCTCCGAGTCCTCATTTATCATCTCTGTCTCCGAGCTCCCTCCGACATTGGGGTACACAACCACACACATCTTCTGGCTCACCAGGGTTATCAACTCTGTGGGAAGAGGTGACAGAAAAACTAGGTAAGTACCGAGTGTCCCACCATGCTCTTCCCTGCCCTCCTGTCCTGGCTTTTGCCTTGGCAGAGCCACTCCCGCCTTCAGAGAATTCTCCCTCCAGGAGATGCCCCTCACCCACCTCCTGTGTCTCTGGGCAAGATCCCAGTCTTCCACCATCCCTTTCCCACTAACTACCAATTCCATGGTCTCCACTGGTTTCCACCCAGCCCAGGGCAGCTCTTGATAGCGATCAAGTTGCCTATTCATGAGGCTTAAAGTCTGTGGAAATGTCAGTTGTCCTCTCCTCAGAGGTACCTGAGAAGGCACCTGCCCTCTCCTGCCCCGAACTCCTTCCCCAGAGTTCTGTGGCTCAGCCTTGACCTCCTGTTTCTGGTGGAGTTCTCCTGACAGACTGCTGACCATTCTGTCCCAGACCAGGGCCTTCAACAACTCACTGATGAAGTTATTGAAACAGCTGGGTTTGTGTTGCCAATAAACACCCAGGAAATAGACGGGCACTCCTGTCAGCATGATGGCCAGGCCGATGCCACACACTACGGGCTCCGACCACAGGCTGAAGACCAGCAAGAAGGCCCAGAACAGCAAGTAGATGATGGGGAACAGCAGGTTGATCTGTGGAGCAGAGGCGTGGTTAGCTGTGTGGATCCCATGGCCCCAGGATCAGGGCAACCTCCCTCTTCTTCACCCTCAGGGAGCACCTGAGTGCAAAGGCTGGGCTTCCCTCAGCTCTGAGGCTTGCACACCCTGAGCTTTGATAGGATAATCTGGGTCAACAGATGTTGGTGAACTTGGGCTGTGGGACAAGAAGGGGGGGGGGGGCTAAGGAAGGAACAATCCTTACTACCTCCTTTCTCCCTTCTAGATAGGATCAATCAAGGCCTTGTCACCCAGGCCATGTGCCTGTGGCAGCCTGAGCAGCACATGGGGGCTGGGAAGCTTGCTGGTACATTGATATGATATATGCTTGCTGAGATCCTAAGGTGGAGGAGAGTTGGAGAAATGAAGGAGGGGCAAGAAGGACATGACCTGGGTCAGTCACTCTTCTAGGCAGGGCCTTCATCTGGGCACATGACAAATAACCATCCCTCTCCAGGATCAGTCCCAATTTGTTTCTCTCAAGCAATATGAAAAGATAAATCTTCCAAGACCCAAGAAACCAGGAAACCTAGCATAGTATAAAGCAGCCTGGGGCCTTTAATCAGAAAGAAGCACCTCTCTCTTCATTCCTTCTTGCTAACCACAGGTGAGAGTTCCTAGTGGATCCTCATCAAGCCTCTAGATTCAGCTGCCTTTCTCCTCCAGGTCCTTCCCCCGACCTCCAACCTTGAGGGATAGGACAGTGTTTCCCAAACTTCTCTCATGATGAGAATCACCTGGTGGAGTTGTTAAAATACAGATTCCTGAATCCCAACTAAGAAGTGCTAAACTAGAATTTTTGGGAACATATAGGTAAAATTGTATACAATTGTATACAAAAATTCTAGTTTAGCACTTCTTAGTTGGGATTCAGGAATCTGTATTTTAACAACTCCACCAGGTGATTCTCATCAAGAGAGAAGTTTGGGAAACACTGTTAGGAGATGGGCTACTTCTACCTCCTCTTGCTCTAGCAGGCTTTCTAAGAGTGGTAGAAAAGTGGTAGTGGAAAACAGAGACTTGGAGAGCCCTTGATTCTCAGCTGGAAGACTCTTCTAGAAGCATCTAATCTCACTCTGTTTCCAAAGTAGAATTGTTCAAATAATTCAGGGTTATATTCTATCCTTCTAATTTGCAAAAATACCACAGCACGATTGCATATTTCATTCTGAGCAATCTCGTAATTTCCACCACAAAGTTATTTCTTGTATGAATAGGTTCAGTGGGTAACCCTACTCTGTGCAGAGCCACAGTAGTTTAAAAAGGAAGGCTCACTCATGGATGGCTGAAGCGAACTGCGAAGCTTCAAAGAAGAGGAGGTGCTTGAAGCTTCTGTGGGAAATGGTTGGAATTTGGATAGGCAGATGGAAGGAGGAAACTCATTCTGGAATAGAAACAGCACAAGTGGATCTAGCTACCTGGAGGGACAAGGAGGAGGAGACTGGCCAGACTAGAGGGCCCAGGGAAACAATGGAGAGATAAAGGAGCCTTGCACAATCAGGTGGAGTTTAAGACAGTCATAGGAAACAAAGGAATGACTCCATGAAAACAGAATTTAAGCTAACTCATCTTTTCAGCTGCAGTTTGCTCTGATCCTACCCCCGGCAGAGAAAGGAAAGAAATGGCTGTCCCATTCACACAAGGCTCTGCTTCCCAAAGGGTCTTTTACCATCACAGAGATGATCTGTGGTCAGCAGCTGAGAAAAGGGTGATTGAAAAATCTGTGCTGCAGCTATCGAACCAGAATGGGGCGGGGGAGGGGGAACCTTCATGGGGAGGTTTTCGCACCTTGATGGGGCGGGGGATGTCAGGCTTCTTCCAGCGAAGAACGATCTGTCCAGCAATTGTGACCCCGTAGAAGAGATAGTTGATGAAACCCACATAGTTGATAAGTGTGTATATGTCACTGGTGACCAGCATCAGCAGGGTGGAGATGCACTGTGGGGAGTGGGAGAAGCATGTCAATGACAGAAAGGATATTTGGAGACTGGGGCTGCTTATAGGTCAGGACTGTGCCCTTGCTTCAGGCAGATGGAGCCTTTTCATAAAGGAGATCTCAAAACAGAAAGTGTATAACCTCCCCTAGAAACCCAGGTCATTGCTACCATCTTCATTGCCAGGAAGTTCTTTTCGACTGCAGAGATGATAATCAAAATACTTAATTATTGGTGTGGCATGGACACTAACCAGCCAGAATAGAGTTTGGCCCCAAAATAACTGGATTTGCCACACGGATGGCACCTGGTTCCATGTCCACCCTAGCCTGACTTATATTTATTCCTTGGGTATATCCCTAATTAATTTCACGAAAGATGGTTGACTGCAGAATAAAGCTTTATCTTGCCTTTATCACCCTCTTCTCCTGTCTGAGTCATCTAATTTTTTTTTTCTTCCTTTTCTTTCTTTTTGAAATATTATAAACAGCTATAGCACTTATAAGGTGCCAGGCTCTATTCTTCACATTCTACAAATAGTAACTTGTTTAACCCTCATAACATCCCCGTGAAGTTTTTTTGATAGAATCTACTTTCCAACTTCAAAATAATCTCAGAACAATATTCTTCACCTGCCCCTTAATATGTTACAGCCAATAGAAGGTTCAGTTTTCCTGTGAGATCTGAGGTGAAAATAATTGAGAAAATTTTAATGAATAAATAAGCCAGATTCTTACTGTACTTGTCTTGTAGTTATGGTGCTGCACCAGTGGCTCGAACTAAAAAAAGTCTGTGGCCTGCTGGGAATACTGAGTTTTCTCCAGCCAACTTTCACAACTAATCAATCATGATGACCTTCTTCCTGTGCCCAACATTCTGAAATTCCCCCGAATGTTATACAACAAATGCCCTTGACTCCCAGAAGCTCTACTATCCTAGTCTAACAGCTTCTCTGGTGGGCCGCAGTGATTTCCAATATTTTATTCAGGATCCAGAAGGAAAAAAAAAAGAAAAAAAAAGAACTTATAAGGCTCACGGGGATAAATCTTTGTTCCTTCTTTTTTGCTCTCTCTAAAGGATTCTCTTCTGGAGTCATTTTGCTTCCATTCCCCCCCCCCCCCCCCCATCCCAAGTTTCCTTTTCTCCATTTCAGTGTACCAGTCTTCCTTTCTTTATTTTTCTTATTGGTGTATTCTTAGCACTTAATTTGTTTCAGTGATATCTCCCAAGAGACTGGCAGAGCCTCCTGGGGCAAGAAGATCAGTGGGGAGGGATGGGAGTGTGTGGTGATCAGCGGGGAGTAGAGGCATAACATGGCAACCACAGGTGCAGAAGAGAGCCAATATGTTTCTTTGGGATGTTATAAAAACTTGAGGAAGTCACTTCATTCTTACCCCAAAAGATGGGAGAACAGAAATGATCTGGCCTGAAAGCCTTGAAGTCTTGCTGTATCTCCTGATATTAGTAAAGCGTGTGCATACAATTGCCAGACTATCTAGGACCACTGAAACCTAGGAGCAGAGGAAAGGTTGCAGGGGTGTGTATGGGAGTGGGGACTCCCAGCTTAGAGCAAGCATGAGGGGAAGGGTGTGTGTGGGACCGGCAGAAGGAGGGGCCCTTACTGTGAAGAGCAAGGCTGGGATGGGGGTGCAGCGCTTCACATGGATCATGGCCAGCACGCTGGGAAGGTGGCCCTCCCTGGCTCCAGCAAAGAACAGCCTGGCAGAGAGAAAAGCAGATCAGCCTGGGACGTCCCTCGGACTACCAAAGGAAGCTCCCTCCCCAGACCAGGCTCCCTCATCCATGCCCCCGCTCTGCCCACGTAGGAGCATCACCCTCCAAACAGATAACCGCCTTCCCATGCACATCCTCCAGCCCACCAGTCACAGGACCCACAATCCCAAATGCAGATGCAGGCAAACTGGAAACAGCCCGTGGATAAGTGGATGGATCCTGGGTGTGTGGAGACCCTGAGTGTGGCCTGGTGGCTTGGGGTTACTGATGATTGTGGTGCCATTCTGTGGGTCTCTCTTCATGCTAGAGTGCTGTTGTGGAGTGCTTCTCTCCTTTGCCTAAGCCTTAATCCCATAAAAAATGTACCTTCTGTATCCTCAAAAAATACATGGGGATTGAACTGTACAAGGAAGGCCTTAAAACATTCTTATCCTAGTCAGAAAGTAGTTATCTCTGCGGTGGGAATGCGTGGTGGGCTAGAAAGGGACACATGGGTCCTTCGGGATATGTGGAGAAGTCCTAGAGCTTATGGATGGTGGTTCTGTCTACAATTGTTGAAACTCATCTATCTGAACATCTATGGTCTGTGCATTTTATTGTATGTAAATTATACCTAAAAATTTATATCTTTAAGCTACTTATTCTATTCCCAAAAAGCCATCCTAAGGAAATGAATAGAGCGTTAGTGAGAGGTGTATATTCAAATATATTCTGATAATAAGAAAAAAAGGAAATACAAGTAGGAGATTGATAACATTATGGCATATCCATAGGATGGAATATTTTGCATTCATAACATTGTTATAGAAACAAAACTGATTACACCCAAAGCCAGTTAGGCTGACCGGATAGAGCATAGGCCTGCAGACCAATGGGTCCCAGGTTCGATTCTGGTCAAGGGCATGTACCTTGGTTGCAGGCTCCTCCCCTGTCTGGGCCCTGGTAGGGGCTCGTGCAGGGGACAACCAATCTATGTGTTTCTCTCATATAGATGTTTCTTTCTGTCTTTCCCTCTCTCTTACACTCTCTCCCTAAAAATCAGTGGAAAGCCGAAACGGGTTTGGCTCAGTGGATAGAGTATGGGCCTGCGGACTGATAGGTCCCAGGTTCGATTCCAGTCAAGGGCATGTGCATTGGTTGCGAGCACATCCTCAGTGGGGAGTGTGCAGGAGGCAGCTGGTTGATGTTCCTCTCTTATTGATATTTCTAGCTCTCTATCCCTCTCCCTTCCTCTCTATAAAAATCAATAAAATATATTTAAAATAAATAAATAAATAAAAGTTCAGTGGAAAAATATCCTCAGATGAGGATTAAACCAAAACAAACAAACAAAGCTGGTTATATGAAACATGCTCACAATATAATGGTAAATGAAAAAAGCAGATGATTCCATACTTTATGATTCCAATTAATTGAAAAATTATTTATGGGGCATGTACAAAGATATATGGTTATGCCAACTAATTATTTCTAGGTAGTGGGATTATGCATAATTTAAATCTTCTTCTTCAGATGTTATAGAAGCAATTTTAAAATTCTAAAATGGACAAAAAATTTTGCAATTGGAATAAACATTATATTTTAATTTTTAAAAATTAAACTTTTTATTTTAAGATAGTTATAGATTCTCATACAATTGTAAGAAATAATATAGAGCAATTTTACATATCCTTTACCCAGTTTCTCCCATTGATAATATATTTCAAAACTATAGTATAATATTAAGATCAAGATATTAATGTATTAGAGTTATTTATAAAAAGAGGAATTTTAACATAAAAAGCAGGCCTTCTTCCCCTTTCCTCTCCAGAAATAAGAAAATACTATAAATTATTAGAATTCATTTACAAATTAGTGTGAATTATACCACTTTATTTTAAAATTGATTTCAGAGAGGAAGGGAGAGGGAGAGAGAGGCAGAAACATCAGTGATGAGAGATAATAATTGTTTGGCTGCCTCCTGAATACCCCACACTGGGTATCGAGCCAACAATTTGGGCATGTACCCTTGACCAGAATCAAACCTGGGACCCTTCAGTCCGCAGACCAATACTCTGTCCACTAAGCCAAACTGGCTAGGGCCACTTTTCCTTTATTCCTAGGGTTTTGTAGGGAAAGGACTGCCTAAGGGGGTAAGAGGAAGGGGCAGGTGTGATGGAGACAGAAATGCATAGAAACAGCACACGGGGTGTTCTGAAGAGAACTATCATTTACTTTGAAATTTGTGTATAGGGGAGAATGAAGCTAAAAGCAGTAGCTCATCAGAAGTGTGGGAGTCGATTATGGTCCTAAGTACCCAAATGCATCGCCATCAGGTGCCATCATCAAATGCCTAGGCCAGTGGCACTAGTTTCATGCAACCATGTGGCATTGGCCCTCTATGATGCAGCCTCATGCACCCAACCGAGCCCTAAGTGCTCTGCGGGCCTCATCATGCACATAGCCAGGGTCCCACATTCAGATCCCTCCTCCATAGGCAGCCAGGACCAAGTGGGGTTGTCCAGATCCAGTAGCATTTGTAAGTGGGGTCACGTTCACAAGAAGCAATCCTTGCCCAGCTAGCTGACAACGGAGGAGACAACGACAGTAAGCATGACACACACCCACACACACTCCCACTCCTCAGGAAGGATCATCTTCTCCATACCCCAAATCACAAAAGAATAAGAGAAAGAGAGGAGGGGAAAAGGAGGAAGAAAGGAAGGAAGGAACTGGAAAATGAGCAGAGGAGGCCTGCTGGTGGTTAAGCCGTGTCTCCGAATTGGAGGCTGATCACACCAGGCCACATCTCCTGCATGCACACACAGCTGTACATGCACGCAGACCACTGCTGGGCCTGCCTGAGGGACAAACCCCACTCTAAAGTGGCTGTAGCCAGTCCCTCTCCTCCAATAGATCCCAGAGAGCCTCATGGGTCATTGCTCTTCCACCGCTCGCCCTTGGCTGGGGCCTCCAGGTGGCCACTGCTCCTGTGTAACATGCACAGGATGTGTCATAGGGTCCTGGGGAACCGGGCATACCCACATTCCCTTTTCCTGCCTGGATCCTGAAAACATGGCACTCCTTTGACATTTCACGGGAACTCCTCTCTTGTGATGGGTGGCTTTAGAAGTAGCTGAACTCGGGGACCTACTCCTTTGGCTGTGTCTTTCGAGTAGGACTGTGCCCCGGGTGCAGAGGGGCTTTCTAAGAACACTGGGAAGACCGCTTGAACTACACTAATGGAATCTATCCAGCATCTGCTGTTCTCAGCAGATATATGGAGGTGGGAGATGGGGACTCCTGGGCCCACTTGAGTTTCTGGCTTCCCTGAGAGGGATGAGGGATGTAGCTTTACACAAATGCTTTCTTTTCACTCTTCCCCAGCCCTCTCACTTCACATGAGTGAGTCCACTTGAGTCTCAGGGGTGGCCACTCCAAGACCTCCCACAGCTGCCTGTCTGTGGAGCAGAGAGGAGCCTGTGCCCACAGGGCATTCAAAGACGATCCCATCCCAAAAAGATGGTCCCAGAACTTTCCTGGGGGGCCAGGCCAGAGGCCCCAGGCACAGGTCCCTCCTGATCCCTTTCAGGGTGGGGTTTCTTTCTAGCCAGCACAGCCTGTTTCCAGAAGGGGCTCTGGAGACAGTTCTGCTACCAATTTCAGTCCCTGACCTGGGACTGTGTGAGGCAGCTTGGGCCTCCTCAGCCTCCTGCTCCTACTGAAGTGAGGTGGGGTGGGGCTTTTCACCACTACATGTGAAGGCACATACATCCTAGGTAACCACATGAGCAACATACACCTCTCTGCATCTACACTGATACACACATGCCCTCACATGAGCAATCAGCCCCTACAAGGTCACTGCCCAGGTGTCCACACAGTCCCTGCTGACGGAGACAAGCCCCCTACATATACACAGAGCGATATGCACAGCAGTGTGGCTTCTGGCTCTGAATGGGCTTGGACAGCACTCACCGGGAGGAGGTGAAGAGAGACCCATTGACTCCTCCAAATGTGGACAGGGCAACAGAAATGGGCATGATCCAGGCCATGACCCCCAAGAGCTTCTCTCCAAAAGTCTATGAGAGAAAACAAGGGATGGGCAGAAAAGAGAGGTTATATCTCTGCACCGGTGCATCACTGCTAGGAATGCTCCCTCCCAGGTCCACCCTTACCGAGCCTCTAACTAAGCTCCTGAGAGGAGGGAAGGTGTTCGTGCCCTGTCCCCCATCCTACACCACCACTTCCCACAGAGACCACTACACAGCAGGGAATCAATAACTTTTGGACTAGCTAACTGAAGGAAGTAGTGTTTGGTAATAATACCAATATTAATAATGCTAATAATGAACTAACACTTGTTATCCTTGATTTATGGATGAAGAAATTGAGGCACAAAGCAATTCAGTAGATTGCCTACGATTATCCACCCAGGACTGGACACCAGCCATGTGAACTCAGGCCTCACTACAGTGTACATTGGTGAGTCAGGCTGGTGGGGGCTCTAATCTCAGCCTAAGATTTAGGAACTATAAGACCTTGAGCAAGGTTCTTAATTTTTGAGCCTCAGTTTTCCCATCTGTAATTCACAGGGTAAGAATTTCTAAATTCATAGAAACAAATTAAATTGGGGGGAATGATAAGAAGAGGCTATGATGTAGACTGAGAAAGAAAAGGTGGTGAAACTATAGATTAGTCTTCGTGTATGGAAGGAATATAAACTATCAGGGGACCAGTGTTTCTATATTTTCTGAGCTAAGTACACACTTGATTTACAGCATATTTATTATGAGGAGAGGCTGTTTAAAATAGCTATCCTGCCAAAACCGGTTTGGCTCAGTGGATAGAGCATCAGCCTGCAGACAGAAAGGTCCGAAGTTTGATTCCGGTCAAGGGCATGTAACTTGTTTTTAACTGGGGTTGCAGGCACATCCTCAGTAGGGGTTGTGCAAGAGGCAGCTGATCGATGATTCTCTCTCACTGATGTTTCTAACTCTCTATCCCTCTCTCTTCCTCCCTATAAAAAAAATCAATAAAATATATATTTTAAAAGATAGCTGTCCTTTGGGGAAGGCTAGTCTTGGAACACCCTGCGTTGGGACACTGGAGGGCCTACTTTAGTTTTCAATGAGACAAATGATGACATTGCTTGGCAGGGATCATAGCCCAGGTGAAGCCAGGTGAGGGAGTAACATGTCTCCTAGTAGTTCTTTCCTGGATATCAAGGACCCAAAACTTTGGACCTGCATGATCTCTTTCCCCAAGAGCACAATCCATCCTACTTCCTAATCGCTTACTGGCACACACTTTTCCCTGACGAGTGAAGGAGTCAGATTGCATGCTTTCCTTTGGTGAAAATGGAGGCAGAGAAAAATGGCATGTCTTATGCAAGACTGCATCTGTCTGGGGAGAAGCCTGACTCCTTTATACAATCATCATATTTAGAGTTTAAAGTGCCCTAGATCAGGAGTCAGCAAACTTTTTCTGTAAAGGGTCAGAAAGTAAATAATTCAGCTTTGTAGGCCATACAGTCTCTTTGGTAACTACTCAGCTCTGCCATTGTGGCTCTTCTAGGTACAGCATGGCCATCAGCTCGCTACTGGGCACTTGAAGGTGTGGTTTCTGCCCTAAGGACTTAGGATGACTTCCAATTCCACAAATCCATGGATTGGGGGGGGGGGGGGAAGAGGGGGTAGCTCAGCAGGCAAATCTATGTCAACCTTTCTGGTTTGAGGGACCGTGAATTTGATTTCTTACCACAGCGACTGCATTCGATGCCAGCAGCTCCTGGGGGGACATTGCAGTGACATAAGCGACATTGGCAAAGACATACACAAATGTGACCAGTGGGATGGAGATGAAGATGGCTCTGGGAAGGTTCCTGTAGAGGGAGAGGAGGTGAGAGGGGGAAGGCCTGGCACCTGGGACCATCTGCCTCATCTTGACGTCCAGGGAGTACCTTCTGTTTTGCTACATGAAGCTGAGGTTTCCCCCTTTTGAAGGGGTGTGGAGAGGAATTTACCTAAATATGGGCATGATAATTCAAAGGAAATGAAATAGCTTAGGCTGGAAATACATTCCGTGCCTATTGATTTTTTTTTTTTTATTGACCAGAATCTCCACAACGCACCCCTTCCCCTGCCTTAAGACACAAAGACCCACCTGTCCCAAAACAGGTAAGGTGCCTGGAAAGCACTCAGGGCACATTTCATTCTCTAAGGCAGTAGTGTTATCTCAGCACCATTTCAGCTTTTAACCTACTCTGGTAGAGTCACCAGGTCATTTTTTTTCTCCTGGAAGATTGAGTGGCAGGTGGTCTAAGTTCCTGGGAAATGAACTGTTTCTTCAGGATACACCAGGTCATAGTCAGAACTGGGGCTGGGAGGAGAATTGGGGAGTGGACACCTGATTCCCTTTTCCCAGTAGCAGGTGCCTCAGCCTTTCCAGGAGAAAGGAAGAGCTGGGCTGTTTCAACTCACTTGTAGGGATCAACAAGTTCCTCAGTCACGTAATTAAGAAAGTTCCAGCCTCCGTAGGCAAAGGAGCCCTGAAGGAAAGCCAGTGCAATGAGGCCAATGCTCGGTTCCTGGAAATTCTCAAATGCATTCTTTGGCTCCAGCCAGAAGTATTCTCCTGTGGACACAAGGGACACGAGGCTGGTAAGCGAGACCAGTCAGAGGCCTGGCAGCCACTGGCTTCCCTGGTCTGGTCTCCACCACTCCCTGCAGTGATGATCCAGTGAGCCTCATGAATTGGAAAAGTGGGACCAATAGGAGGCGGGAAGTATGACTTGAGGACCTCCCAAACCTGTTAGCCATTCATTCAATGGGGGCTCAGATTCAAAGCACGGTTCTGAATGTCCTTTTTTGACAAGGCAAAGGTACTTGGAAGGAAAGGCCAAGGGAAGGTCACCAGGAGGGCAAGGTAACTTGGGAGACTAGCAGGGTAAATGGGAGCTGGCCTGCTGTGATTTGGAGAGGCAGGAGTAGAGCCCGTGGCAGTCTTTTGAGCCCTTTCCTTCATACTTAAATTTGTACATTTTCATGAAGAAAGCATCAAGAACAACAAGCTTCCATAGTGCTCTATTAGCTCAAACCTGTTCTGCTTTTTTTTGTCAATCTCCATCTGTCTCTAAGGTGTGTGTCTGGTCTCCATTTGCATGGCATAGATTTGCTAAGGACAGGGACCTCAGCCAAGAGTTTATACATTTCCTTCCCATCCTTTAGCACAGTGTCCTGCACACAGAGGTCCCTCCAGAAAGGATGCTGACTGAGGTTGTAGTGAGACACAGAGTAACTGCTCATACTTTATTCATTTGTAATCTGGCATTGGGACAATAAATAAGGAGATTAGAGTGATCAGGAGAAAGCATTGGGGCCAGATTAGGAAGGACTCTATTTTGAAAATATAGCACAGTGATTTCCTTAAGTCTAAATTCCTGAAAACAATATAACCTGCTAAAGAACTTAATCCAACTGATTAAAGTAATCATGGACATTTTATATAGCAGAACCTTAATTACATTTCCTGGAGTGAAAATCCAGGCACCCACACTGCCTTCGGGGCTTGTGGGCAGATGGGTGGTCTCCTGCTTGTCATCTGACTTTCTCCAGGAGGCAGTGACACTGGGCAGAGCCTTGTGGTGCTACGGATCCCATGGAAACCAAATACAGACTGAGGCTTGAAAAGAACCAAATCCATTGGGGAATGTTGGCAAGGGCCCCAGGAATGTAGAGCTCTCTCTTGTAGAGATTATGAGTAATTTAAAAACATATAAAATCTCCTCCTCTGTCCCCCCATTTTAAGATATGGACAAGATACAACATACAATGAGGTAGATTCCCTGGGGTTGGCGCGAGAGGGCAATAGGAGTCCAGAGATCTGAAGTCAGCATGGGAAGACTGAGTCTGCTAACAGGCAAGACACATTTTACTTCCTGTGGAAAATGGTTTCTCTTCCCCTTTGCCAAGCAAGTAGGAAGGGAAGTCATTTAAGGCCAGAATTGGGAAATCTCAGGGCGTGCACTCACCCAAAGACAGTATGAGGGTGTGTGTATATTCAAGGGCGGGAAGTTGGGCAGGGCCCCATGGCTTCAATGACACTCACCTTTGCAGATCTGCACAACCCCCATGATGATGATCAGGGCCAGGGCCAGGAGCTTCCCAGCTGTGAAGATATCTTGAACCCTGGTGGCCCACCGCACACTGGAGCAGTTGACCCATGTGAGGAGCACTGAAAGGAAAGACCCCAAACACACCATCAGGGGCCATAACGAAGCTGCAGGACCCTCTCTGCACAGAAGCAGAAATGCTCTTTGCTCCTAACGATGGAATTGTATCATAGTAGACGAGCCAAATCTGCGAGCTCAGCCCAGTGTCCAGAAACTTTGGCTGGGTTAGTGGGTTAAGAAAGGGGATTACATGCCCCAAATTAGAGCTTGGTCAGAATATGCCCTGCCCAGGGCTGGGAGCCAGAAGTAGGCATGGGAGAGTGGACACTGGCTTTGGAGGGGAAGTCAGCAGCTGATCAGGGCACCGTTGTAGGTTTGTTTTCAAGCCATTGTATATTCAAGGAGCATTCTGAGCAGCTGGTGGGATCCTTGATGTCATCTTTCTGAGCCTGGCTTTGGGGCAACAGAGGTGTAGGGGAATTGTTTGTTATTTTGGTTTATCAAGGCATTACACATATAGAATACAATTCACTTTTAAGTGCACAATTTGATGAGAGTTGACAAATGTATTCAGTTATTTAATTACTACCGAATTTTCTATTTCCAACACTCCAATGAGTTCTCTTGTATGCTATGTTTCTTTGATGTCAGTCACTTCCCCTACTGACAATCACTAATTTGATTTCTGACCCTCTAGTTTTGCTTTGTCCAGAATGTCGCATAAATGGGGTCATACAATGTGTAGCCTCATGTCTGACTCCTTTCACTTACATGCTTTTGGGATCCATTCATGTTGCTATATATATTAGTTTGTTCCTTTTTATGATCAAGTAGTATTCTGTTGAATAAATGTATCAGTTTGATTTTCCCCTTGGCAGCTGTTGGACATTATTAATAAAGCTATGAACACTTACACAGAAATCTTTAAGTAGATTGTAGAGGTCTTTGAATGGGGTTTTCATTTCTCTCAAGTAAATACACAGGAGTGGGATTCTGATATATGGTAAATGTTATCAAACTTTGTAAGAAACTCCCAAACTGTTTTTCTAAAGTGGTTGCATCATTTTTCATTTCCAACAGCAATGTGTGCAAGATCCTATTGCTCTATATCTTTGCCAGCATTTGCTACTGTCGGCTTTAAAAGTCTGGCTATTCTAATAGGTGTTGAGTGGCATTTTGTTACAGTTTTTTGTTTTGTTGTCTAAAGTTTTACATATGTCTCCCTTTTTTCCCATTGATGCTCCTTCCCAGCCATTCCCACCCCCGAGGCCAACCCCCCATTGCCCTAGTGTCTTTGTTCATTGGTTAAGCTAATATGTATGCATATAAGTTCTTTGGTTGATCTCTAAACCCCGCAACCTCCCCTGCCATTTGTCTCTGGATCTATTTTTGTTCATCATTATATCCCACATATGAGTGAAATCATGTGATTTTTATCTTTCTCCCACTGACTTATTTTGCTTAGCATAATGCTCTCCAGTTCTATCCATGCTATTGCAAATAGTAAAAGTTCCTTATTTTTTATTTTATTAATTTTTTAAATTGATTTCAGAGAGGAAGGGAGAGGGAGAGAGAGAAACATCAATGAGAGAGAATCATTGATTGGCTGCCTTCTGCTTGACCCCTACTAGGGATTGAGCCTGCAACCCAGGCAGGTGCCCTTGACCTGAATCGAACCCGGGACCCTTCAGTCCCCAGGCTGATGCTCTATCCGTTGAGCAAAACTGGCTAGGCTCCTTTTTTATAGCGGTGTAGTATTCCATTGTATAGATGTACCACAGGTTTTTAATTCACTCAACTACTGATGGGCACTTAATTGTTATAGTTTTGTTTTGTTTTTTAAATATATTTTATTGATTTTTCACAGAGAGGAAGAGAGAGGGATAGAGAGTTAGAAACATTGATGAGAATCATTAATCAGCTGCCTCTTGCACACCCCCTACTGGGGATGCGCCCGCAACCAAGGTACATGCCCTTGACCGGAATCGAACCCGGGACCTTTCAGTCCCCAGGCCGACGCTCTATCCACTGAGCCAAACCAGTCCTGGCTAATTGTTATAGTTTTGACTTGCCTTTCCCTAGTGACTAAAGATGTTGAAAATGTTTTCCTCCCAATATCCCTATATCTTCTTGGGGTGCATGGGGGACTTTTAATCTGCCTCTTTTCCTAAGAGTCAGAGATTCTAAGAATGTGTAACCTCCAGGGCTGCAAGAGAGCTCAGGCTGAGTGTTATGATGGAGGGGCCCTCTGTTTTACCATCACAGTCCCTAAGTAAGCCACGGGAGCCCTGTGTTATAGGAACAGGAGTCTCAGTCAACCCCCTTGTGGTTATGAAGTGCCTGAGAATAAAGGGGAAAAAGTTAAAATTCTCTTTCTCTCCCTCTGAAACAGTGACCAGGATGCCCCTTAGTTCTCCAAGGGTACAAATCATATGTGTAAAAGCACAAGGTTCTTTCTCTTTCCTCAGGCCACTATCCAGGCCTGATTTCACATATACAGCTGATCAAGTTCTATCAATATCTTATCCTGAAAGTGTGCATTTACTTTCCAAATATTTTCCAACCTTGATTCTGAGAACATTTTGGCAGAGTAAGGACCTGACATTATTCTTCTGTAACCTTCTTCTTTGTGCCATCACTATCAGGCAAACTCCTCATCTTTCAAGATCCTGCTCAAATGTCACCTGTTCTGTGAGTTATTATTATTTTACTTATTCCTATTTTATTTTGTGCCTGCTAGGTAAGATTTATCAGCTGCATTTTATAGACAAGAACTAAAGTTTGTTCCTCTGCTGTTCTCCCAGACCATTCTGTTTATATCTAATTTTGGCACTTCTTTCTTTTTTTTTTAAAGTATTTTATTGATTTTTTACAGAAAGGAAGGGAGAGGGATAAAAAGTTAGAAACATCAATGAGAGAGAAACATCGATCAGCTGTTTCCTGCACACTCCCTGGTGGGGATGTGCCTGCAACCAAGGTACATGTCCTTGACTGGAATCAAACCCGGGACCCTTCAGTCTGTAGGCCAACGCTCTATCCACTGAGCCACACTGGTTAGGGCAGCACTTACTTTTTATATTATAATGATGTTTCTGTTTCTCTGTCTCCTTGTAGATTAGGAGGGTAGGGACTGGGACTTTTTCATGTTTTTAATCCCAGGGCATATTACTAATGCCTGCAGCTGGTAGGTGCTTAGTAAATATTTGATACTTGAATAAAGAAAATGTCTCAATTCATTAGTCTTCCAATTTCATCACAGTCCACAGATTTCACAATGCACACTAATCCCCCTGCTCTCCATGAAACTCATCAAAAGGAGACACAATCCTTAGTTGGTTTCACAGAGCCAAAGAGCAAGAGGAAACTTGACTTCAAGAGCAAAAGCTCTGAACTCTTCATGGAGCTGTTATCCAAGTCAGTGTCATATAAGGAGAACCAGCACATGCTGCTGGAAGAGGGATTTTAAGCACCTGAACAGCAAGAGCATGTTTTAAATACTCGAATGTTCCAGATGGATTGGGATATCCTGATAAATACACATTCGGTTTATCTTACTCAATTCAATAAGGTTTTCAGGATCACATGTCTCATGACAATCCAACCCAAATCCCGCTAAGCAACTGGGTTTCTTCCTAGGGCTCTGAGTCACGCTCAGGATGAGGTTGGGCCCCTGGGTCCCAGGAGTTTAGCAGATATAAGTAATAATGACTAAAAAATAAAGGAGATTGATTTATGAAAAAAAAGGAAGTTTAGAACCTAAAACCCCTGCATGGGCTCGGAGACAGGTCAGGGCTGCAGAACAAAGGGCAGAGAAGAAACTTATCCTCCACCAATGGGAGGAGCGGGAGGGCAAGGATGTGCCAAGAAAGTTCATGGAGGGAAATAAGGACAAAGCATGACAACTGAGCAGAAGGGGAATGTGGCCTTTTCCCCACGTGCAGGGATAGGAAACACAAAATCATGTCCTTGATAAGGCAACCAGGAAGACTCCTTCAAAAGCTCAGCTCCACAGTACCCTGGGAGGATCAGAGATGTTTGAAAGAAGGGATATTTGTCAACCAAACTTGAGGTATGTGTCTTCTGTCCTGCTTATCGCCACAACTTCACAAGAACCCAGTCCTTGGATAACATTTAACTTTTCCCTGGGATCTTTCGGAAATAAAAAGAGAATTCCTGAGAATGAGGTGGGGACACAGGCTGCCGGTGCCACTAATCTCCTTGGAACAATGGCTGCAGGCCTTGAGTGACCTTTCACCCGAAGTTAGGCCACCACAGCATGTGACCAAAGGAAAGAGGGTACTCTCAGTCTCCTGGTACCACAGGACAGCTTCCCTCTCAGCAGCTGAAACCTGAGCCTCCATCCAGAGAGGAAAGGTCAGTGAGTGAAGGCAACATTTGCCAGGTGCTTGCCAATCTCTGCCCTGCTCAGGCTTCCTGTCTCGGCCCGTCTGCTATCCAGCATCCCTTTCTGTTGCTGACGGCTATGTTTTCTCTCTTCTCAGCCAGATCCTGAATTCTGTATATACAGTGACCTTAGGGAAGCCAGATGGAGATGGGGATCAGTAGCCACTGCAGCTTACAATGTGAGGGTTTTCATCCATCCATCCACCTATCCACCTATCCATCCATCATCCTTCCATCTATCCAGCTAGTTAGCCAGCCATGCATCCATCCATCCATGCCGTTGTCATCTATAAAGGGTCTACACATGCTAGGCACATTAATAAGTGGGGGAGTTATAAATATGACTCAAGTCCCTGACCTTAGGAAGATGACATCATAAGAGGGGAGATGGGTGAACTAAAAGAGGATCCAAGACAATGTGGAAATGGAGCTCTTCGTGAAAGCCAGGGTGTCCATGAGGATCCCTAACTCAGCCCAGGGGAATCAGAGATGCTTCCTCTATGACGGAGAGACCTGAGCAGCAGGGAGAATTTTATAATTCTGGCCCAGCTGGACAAGATAATAACAAGGCATAAAACTCTGGTTCTTATTCATTGTAATCTGACTGCGGGGGCAGTTGCTGCTTCTCTAAGGTCCCCATGGAGACCCAGGCTTATTT